GGCCGGCAAGGCAGGCGGGGAATGTTGGAGTCCTCCGTCACTGAAGCAAGCAAGCCTCATGTTCACTCTAAGCTGCCTGGCTGCCGGCCGCCATCTTGGCTAGCAGTTAATTTGCATATCGCCCTGATTAGCCAATGGGAAGGGTAGCGGTCATACGCCAATTACCATGTTTCTCTTTTATTAGATAGGATGGGTAGAGGCTGCTTCAAGATAGCTGTGCTTTCATAAGGGGTGTGTGTGTGTGGTGGGGAGTCGAGGAGTCTCTCTTCTTGGTGTCTTGTTTTTTGCCCCTGGCACTATACTGGGCCAGTGGATTTAGAGAATGGTATACAGTGATTCTCAGGTTTATTTCTTATATTAGAACTGAAAATATAATTATCCTATAAATAGGTTTTATATTCTTCCAAAAGTACAGCAGGTTGCCCCTGCTTCAGTGAAATTCACCTACCTGTTTTCTGCTTACTCACTTTGCCTTTTAAAAAATTTGACTGCATTTTATCTCCTAATGGCTTTTCAGTTGCAAATTTAGAGAATGCAATATGTTCTGTCTTCCAGATTATTTCTAAAAATGTTAAATAAGAACAAGCCTGGCACTGATCTATTTCTTTCTCATCATGTTTTTCCCTAATGTTTAAAGATTCCATTCTTTGGTACATATTTCTTTACATATTATGGATTATAGCAAAAGTATACAGATGTCTGTAAAATGCCCAGAATAGTGCTCTGAGGTATTGTAGGGATCAGTAAATAGCTCTGATGGTGCCAGTTTCTCTAGGGTCTATAGATTGTTTGTTAGCTCCTGTGTTCTTTTTCTTTTTTTAAGATTTTTATTGATTTCAGCGAGCAAGGGAGATAGAGATAGAAACATCAGTGATGAGAGAGAATAATTGATCGGCTGCCTCCTGCATGCCCCACCACTGGGGATTGAGGCCTGGGCATGTGCCTTGACTGGGAATTGAACCGTGACCTCTTGGTTCATAGGTTGACACTCAACTACTGAGCCACACCTGCCAGGCTCCTATGTTCTTTTCAGAATTGTTTGAATGATTATTAATTTGAGTGGGAGCATGGTATTATATTGATGGTATTATATTGGTAATATACCAGCCAACATTATTATTATACAGTCAATTTTTGATAAGTGTGGTTATACATTTTGCCAAACAATTCTTATAGAGACAGCAAAAAACTATGTATTCTCAATGTGGTTTGTGATTTTAAATTTTGATTTCTTTGTTTATTTTAAAAATAGGAAGCTTAATTTTGGAATTAATCTCTTTGCCCTTTGTGTAATCTATTAGAGCTTATAACATAATACATATAGCATAACTAAAACATATAATAAAATCCTTTAGGATCTTATTAGAATACTAACAAAATTAGAAAATCTATTTTATGAGACAAATAAGAAACATCACAAACTCATTAAACATTCACATAGATTGTTCTATTTGAATATTTAATAATATAAAGTAGGGAGATTATAAAATTTATATTCAGAGGTCAAAACTTTTCCAAGATCATTTACTTGTAAAGGGCCCAGTTAAAACTTCAACCAGGACTTCTGGACTGAAGCACCTCTTGGATGCTTTTTTATTTCCGTTTAATAAGAGAAACTCTTAATTCAATAAATATTCTCCCAAACGTTGCCTATCTATAGTAACCGTTACTGATTACAATAGTGGCACAGATGTCCAGTGTGTATGTAAGAAAAGGTTTATGTTTTTTAATAGAGGCTGAAATACAGAAGCCTGAGGATCACAAAGGGTAAATTCTCAGTTAACCAGAATTTTTAATGAAGCCAGGAGCCTTAAGCAGTCATGTTTGTAGACAGCTTTTTCAGAATCCCCAGGTTTTTCCAGTAGAAACAATAAGCACTCTAATTACCTTCCTCCTCTCTTTTAGTCCTTCAGTCACTGGACTGGGTTTAGTTCAAGCAGATTCTTGCATATTCCCGGTCCTTGAAAACCTTTCCAGTCAGTGGCCATTCAACATCTTTTTACATGTTTCATTAAATTCACTACATCTATAAACTGCATCAGTAGAAATGTATATTTAAAAAAAATTTGTTTCACTTCTTGTTTATTATATATTCATGGGTGGAATATTCTAAATCTGTATTAACTATTGTAAGCTACAAATGCTTCCAGTGCTACATAGTTAATGCCACCATCGCAGATACTCACTCCTTAAAATATGCCTGCACATGGCGCTTGCCCCTCCCCCTCTCCCCCTCCTCCCTTCTTCCCCTCACACATGCACACGCGTACACACACACACACATACACACACACACACACACACACACACACACGCGTGCGCCAAGCACACACCAAACTGCCATTCTCCAGCAGGCCTGTTTCTGGAGTTGGGAGCTGTAAGCCTGCTGGGAGGGGGTGGGAGGAGGAGGAAGAGGTGGGGCTCCACTCTGATTAATTGCCTTAGGCATTCAGGGGTGGGGCTTCCTTCAGCCATCTGCCTGAGATATGGGAGGGAGCTGGAGAACGAAGGAGGGGGAGAGACTGCCAGAGAGGAAGAGAAAAGAAAGGAAGAAACACTAGAAAGAAAAAGGAAGAGGGGATAAAGGGAGATCAATCATTTACCCTTAAATAGCTAGACTGAGGGGGGGGAGGGGGGGAAGAAGGCCGTGGAAGGTGTGCCCTAGCACGACTGCTTTGAAGTGTTCATCATCATTCCCTTTGGTTTATGGAGAAAAAGAAAATGGTAACTCAGGTAAGATTTGTGTTTCCTCCGTGTGCTCCCTTCCCGTTTCTGGGATCGAAATAAAGATATGGGGGTGGGGTATAACCATTAGAGTTTTAATTATTATTGTCTTCTTAGAGAAGACCAGATTTATTGTTATCAACTGAAAAGTCTGTGTGTGTTGTGAGTTCATGAGAGAGAGAGGGCAAGAGAGATGTATCGTAGCCTTTTCTCCCCCCACCCCCTCCATAGCAGATTCCTGTTTCCTGTACGGTGCAGCTGTAGCTCAGGAAAAACCCTGTGGGGATTTGTCTACCTCTTTGTCTTGGTTCTGAGAAGAGGGAGGGAGAGAGAGAGACTGCAGAGGTAGGAAGAGATTCTCCTGGACTGCCAAAAAGGGGAGAGGGATTGACTTCCTTTTAAGAATTGCAGAAGAATTTGTGTTACGGAGAAATCTGATTCCCGATTCACTTCGGTTTCTCAGAATTGGCGATGGAATTGCAGTTTTGCTACTTTCGCTCCAGATGGCTTATTAAAAATGAAGACTAGGAAAATGTTTCCATTTTCCTGGCTTTGTTACTGGCAAAGAATGTTCTCAGTAGGAACCATAGGAGCATGCAGGTGCAGCAGAGGCAGGTAAAGCTCCCTGACAGAACAGATCTGAGTGTATAAATGACGATCACGGGGGCATTAAAAGGCATTTGAAGGAGAGGGACTGAGAAATGGGGGAATCAATATCTCTCTCTCTCTCTCTCTCTCTCTCCCGCCCCCCTCTGTCTTTGGTTATGCCAGGCAATATCTAATCTGCATTTTAGCAAGTCATTCCTGGCAAATGGAAGGTGCATACTCCTCTGTGGTTCCGCCGGCAGTGCTATCGTTCTTGTTGCCACCCTTTTGTGTGTTCCTTTCCCCTTTTCCTTTCTGTAGATAGAGGGAGGGAGTAATGAGTATGTGACTTATCAGTGAGAAATCATTTGTGCTACAGAACGTGCATGTCCTTTAGTCTCAGACTTAGGGTCATTTTCACTGCAGGCTTTTACG